CCTGACCATTCTATGATTCTATGATTCTATGATCTGTCTCAGCAGTGAAGGTCCGGAGCATCCCATAACCAACCTGCATCCCAGGGGTTTTATTTTGAGCTGGCCAAGAGCAAGACTCGCTTTTGGATGAGTCTTCAACACCCCTTGAGCGGCCCATCACCCTCCCACGGCATTTTATCTGGCTTCACCCGCGAGCTACCCGAGGTGCCCATCTCCAAACTATCCGTCAGGACACGTCCATACACGAAACCGCCCGGGAATAAACACGTCCTTGCAACGAAGCAGGTATCCCGGTCGAGAAACACGGTGATGACCAAGCGTTGGGATAGGAGGCTCTCCGGAACGCGCAGGATTGCACGTTAAAAATGAAACAGGTTTTGGCAGAGGGTCCCTTCCTCCATCGGCACTGGGGCTGCTCACCGCGGGCACCGGAACCGAGTCCCTTATTTCGCTCCAAGCCTCCGGACGTGCTCACTTCCAGTACCAGCATCCCAAACTCTCGGATCAGAGAGACTGAAGGCAACCAAGCATGGAGCACAACAGCTTTTCTTGCTCCTCTCGCATCCTCGGCACACCCAGAGGAATAAGGCATCGGATTTCGGTTCCGGATTTTCCTAAACACGGGCTGTCGCTCTTGCTGCTGGTGATTATCCGGGTACGTCGGAGGGTGGTTTATTTACCTTCCAAAAAAACAACGGCGGCGTCAAAGCCAGGCAGGGGAGAAGGACCCATCCGCCAGGAACCGCCGAGCACGTCGGGGCTGGTTTGTTCACTTCTGTCGGGGTGAGAGCGGAATCTCGACAAAACTGCTGGGAGAAGAGCTGCTTCCAGGAGGAAGGCAGAGGTGGGAAGACACGGAGCACGTTCCCAAGCAAACTCCATCAGCCGGTTACGAAAACCAAGCGCTCCCAGCCTTTACTTTTCTCGCTATTTTCCACACTCAGATTATTCCAAAACTCGTCGTAGAATTTTTCTACCTCCTTTTAGGGCTGATTTCTCTTCAATCACAGTCATCAATCATAGAATCATAGAATGGTCAGGGCTGGAAGGGACCTTCAAAGGTCATCTAGTCCAACCCCCCTGCAAGGAACAGGGACATCTCCAACTAGATCAGGTTGCTCAGGGCCTGTGTCCATGTCCGGACACTTCATACGAATAAAGCCCGGGCACCTACGAGGGGTGTTGCTCGTATCCAAACGCTCCCACCACCAACACAAGAAGACCCCGACACGATGCATCAACAAAGACAAAACCATCTCGGGTTGGCTGGATCATGATCCCGGTTCCTCGATGAAGCGGGAGAGTGGGACAACGTTGGCAACACGCACCCCAGCACGAATCGGGCTCACCCCGCAGACCTTCACTTCTCCTACGTCCACGTGCAAAGACGTACTCAACCAGTTGGGACACCGGTATCTATCTCCAGGTCCGTGAACACGGCTCCTGGAATTGCCACCATCTCCTTCAAACATGCTTCAACTACGGATAACGTGGCTCCTGAGCAAGGTGGAGCCGTTCACCTGAAGCACCAAGAACACGTGGAATTGCAGAACCGTTTGGGTTGGAGGGGACCTTCAAATGTCATCTAGTTCAAACCCCTGCAACGAGCTGGAACATCTAAATCCGTTTAGGATTGTGGCTTGGAAGTTGGCGTGGCCTGGATGCTTGGCATGGTTAACCCATTCCAAATGCAAAGTTAATCTAGATGACTTTGAGAAATCATGTCAGTAATTTTAGGGGAACAGTATCTTCTTGGAATCACCTAAAAATGTTCTTAGCTGGAAGTCCTGGATAAGTACTAGAGTATTTGCGAGATTTCCTGTTGTCATGCTTCATGATGTAGCCATTACTGCAAGATTTCCTGTTGTCATGCTTCATGATGTAGCTGAAGCGACACAGAAATACGGAAAAAGAGATGAGGAAGGTCCGGTTGGATGAGGCTTTGAGCAACCTGGAAGGTGTCCCTGCCCATGGCAGGGGGTTGGAACTGGATGATCTTTGAGGTTCCTTCCAACCCAAACCATTCCATGATTCTATGATCTTCCACAAGATCGGGTTGCTCAGACCCCATCCAACCTGACCTTGAACATCTCCAGGGATGGGGCATTACCAATCTCTGGGTAACCTGTGCCAGTGTCTCACCATCCTCAGTGTAAAAAATTCCTTCCTTCCATCTAGTCTGAATCTCCCCTCTTTTAGTTTAAACCATTACTCCTTGTCCTATCGCTACTAAAAAGTCTGTCCCCATCTTTCTTCTGAATCCTCAAAGGCCACAATAAGGTCTCCCTGGAGCCTTCTCTTCTCCAGACTGAACAATCCCAACTCTCTCAGCCTGTCTTCATGGCAGAGGTGCTCCAGCCCTCTCATCACTTCCATGGTCTCCTCTGGGCGCGCTCCAACAGCTCCATGTCCTTCCTGCACCGAGGACCCCAGAGCTGGACGCAGCGCCCCAGGGGAGGGTCTCACTGTAGCAGAGTTGAGAGGGACCATCCCCTCCTTCGACCTGCTGGCCACGCTGCTGGTGGCCCAGCCCAGGAGACGGTTGGCTTTCCAACCAAGCACACCTCGCCGGCTCACATCCAGCTTTTTGTCCACCAAAACACCACGGGAAGTTCTCAGCACTTTGTACCTACTCGAAACAAACCAGGACTCCTCGTTCTGCTCCGCGGCCTGCCAGCGTAC